TCTGACGCGTGCGCTAAGATAGGTAACCGTAATCGTCCGGTTCGGGTGACAAGTTGTTCGAATGAATCTCTTTTCTTGTCCAAAGTCTTGTTGACGAGAATGCCGACGCCGCAACTCCTTTAGTCGCAAGTTCCAAGGAGTAATTCTTCCTTGATGTCGTAGACGGCGTTGAATAGGCGGCATCTGTCTCAGTCAGTTCAGTGACGTTGTCCCCTTTTTCTTTCAAAAAAATGCCTATGTATGTATTGCATTTCGTTACCTTAGAGAATTTTTTCGAAATCTGCAAATATTTACCGAAAAGATAAAAATTTTTTATTCTTCATTGAACGAATAGGGTTTTTTTCCTGGAGCGTATAAATCCTTTTTATTTCATGTCCCCCTCGATGCTCGTATTTGGAACACGAAAGCAATTGAAGAAATGGGATTTCGTCGAGTTGGACATGGTGGTGTTCTCCAATATATTGCTGGTATTTGCGACTGCATCGCCTGCGTTGGAAATTCCGTAAATACTTAAATCTTAATTTCTTTTTTAGGACATTTTAATTCTAGGCGAATTTTAATTCGAAATAGTACGTTTTAAAGTGAAATATATCACTAAGTTGATAGAAATTGGTCTCTTCTATCATGCATCATAGTCTTTGAAGCCTTTAATCCTTCAAGAGCTTAGGTTGTAAAAAAATGTTTTTGGTTGTTGGGGAAAAACCTGAGTTGACACGAATTCGTTGTATGCATTGAGGGTAGCTTTATGAACTTCGTTGATTTGTCCACTATTTTTGTTTATGAGAAATTTCGTTCAGAGGGCGTCAACGCTATTCAAAAATTCCGAATGGGATAAAATGGTTGCCTTCTTCGTGTTATAGCTTAAAAAAACGTCTAACGGCAATGGCGCCTTAGAAGCAAAATCATAGAATACTTATAAGTTTGAATTTGACCAGTTCTAATCTGTAAGATGATTCATAGGAACACAATATCAACAAGGAATGTGGTAAACTCCAGTGATTTCTGCTACATTGTTTAGTTAGCCGAAAACCTTAGTCCTTTACTGAGTGTTTGTTGTTTTTCTGACCAGAACGTATTGAATTATCTCCACCACTGATCTATTTGTGCTATTAAACTTTAAATCGATAAATAAAACTTGTGAAGTTGGTCCTTGATTAGTGGTTTTCTTTTGTATGACCTGTTTTTACATCAACTGTGCGGATCCAAGAACTTTTGCGTTCAGTTGGTTTCCTCCCATCTATATCCCACAAAGGTCTTCGAACTTTCTGCTTGTAGGTTTAGCCACTGCTCAATGATTTTTTCATCTTCGTCACAAATGTCGTTGAATGCTGGTCTGGTCGGTTCTTCTTTGAGTCCTGAGATGGGCGTACTGCGGCATTCCCACGTGGAATGGAGAAAGTCTGCTTGCGCCAGATTGGTATGGTGTCAATTTCCCAATCCCTAAGGAATGGGAGGCTTCCCGAACCCGGTTTGGAAGTTATTTGTCAGTAATTTTTTTTGGACTAATTTTAGACCAGTTTCATCTGCTGTAGTGTCGTACGTTACAGCTAGTCGATTTGTTGACTGAAGATGCCCACGGAAGCTGGTGTACCTGAAGATAACATTAGTTCAAGCCTTTCTTGAATCGACTTCCCCATCTATTTTCTTTTACTTACTCAGAATATTGTTTTCAGACAGCCGTTGGTATTAACCTGTAGTCATCAACGTTCCGAGTTCCAATATTTTCTTTCTCTTTTCCACTGAAGAAACTGCTTTATAACGGTTTTATATTTACAAGAATGTTTCTATTCAAAGGAAATGTTGAACTTGACATCAACAACGGTTTCTGAAATTATTCCGTGATTTTTTGTGAAAGCAGTTCTCGCTTTGTCGGTACTGTATGTAGACAACAACCGCCTTCATGGACGTATCGTGTTGTGTTTAGCTGAATTCCTTCATGTTCTCTATTATCCATGGCTTCGGTGGCTCTCAATATTTCCATGTCATTGAGTGATTCAGTACTGCAAAATGATGTACAAGGAAATGAGGAATTCTAAGTGCTGATTTAAGCCTAAAAGCTCTTCTTTATGAGATAACTACACCCCCGTCATGTTTGTTTTCTGACGTGGTTCCTTGTTACCTTTCAAGTTCAGTCAGGATTTCGTTTTTGTGCAAATTCACACAGCGGTTCATTGGTCCATCAAATACATCGTTGATATCGACGGCTGCTTTACTCGTGTTAAGTAATGTTTTGAACAGTTACCATGTTACTACTTTTCTCAGTTGATTAAGAAATTTGAACCAAAAAGCTTCGAGGGGCGACATTTTGCGTAGTGATTAGAAGTGGTATCTAATGCACGCTACTCGTCAACTCAATCCCACCCAGCACCAACCAAATCCCAAATCCTTTCGAGATCGCATATTGGAGCCAGACGTGTTTGGAAAATGCTCATTCTCATCCAGAGAAACTGTCGACTATTTTGACGAAAACCTGGGAACGTTATAGCACGATTGTCTCAGGATTTCGAGAAGACTCAGCTCAACCAGTGTTCAGCGAGATTGATGAAGAAGACAAACGTATGAAGTGGCAGCGTAAATCATATATATATACCTTTCTGATTAACGAATTCAAGACAGCAAGCAGAATGGCTGAAAAATTGGGATTCACGTAATATGTGCATAAAAAACAAGTAAAAAATGTAGACACAAGTTTCTTCTTATGCTCTGCATTTCATACGTCTAGTATTTTATTTCCTCCTAACCGATTACCACTTCATTGTTGCTGCAAGGTGTTTCTGGGTGTCGGAGCGATGTACTCCGGGAGATGCATTCTTCCAGCGGGGTCTGACAAACTGAGGAGTCCGACGTTTCTGTCCGGAAGCCCAGTAAGAGTAAACGATACCAGGAATCTCCACGGTCCTGGTATCAGACCAGTCGCATGGTGGCAAATCTCCCTCTCATCCACAAAGGCAGGGTCTGACTGGGATGGTGACGAACTGGGAATGCTTCGGCTATGCCGACTTCGGGATGCAAGGGAACCATAACTCCTAAACCAGCAAATTTTCGGCCAAATGGAAGTTATGTCTGGATCCGCAGTGCCAGTGAAGGCGGGTCATCCGTGATTTCAAGTAAGTACTTTAGTTGGCGACCAATTTAACTCCAATAATCGAAAAAGACACGCATTTACACGAATATATATGTCGCGATGAAAACCGATTTTACCTGCGAAGGTCCAACAGTATGCTACTTTTTATACTCTATTTCAACAAATTTCTCGGTTTCTGAATCTCAATTAATTTTTTTTTGCTCTTTATGGTCGTGGTTCTCATCTCAAGTAGCAAAATGACTGAACAGATGGGATTTCGCGTAGCGCGATAGTGTAACGTCGAAATTTGACGATGGTTACGCTCATGTTGAAATTTCAAAAGTCTTGTTTTTTCAATACGAGTTTCGAATGGAAATAACTAATTGGTATTCGAATAATGAAACTAAAATACATATTAGAAATATTATGTGTGATAGTATGCAGTTTCTGTGTACAAATTTCCTACGCAAGTTTGTAAAGTCCTCAAATGTTCTGGTTGCTAAAAAATCATCTGTAATTGTCTATAAGCCTGTGTTCTGTTGCAAATTTTATTGAAATGACTGGTGATTGTTACTCACTCGATTTCATGCGGTTGCCGGACTGAAAGTTGCAATTGAGGTGTACACCAGTGCTCCCACGCACGTTTGCATGAATATGCCGATATGTATGTAGTAGATATAAGTTGGTTGTAAAGAAGACCCAGAACTCACACGCGTGTTTTGGTTACGAGAACGTGGCATCGAGAAACGGCTTTCTTAGTGAGAATATGCTTTGACATGTTTTAACCCTGTTTTTCCACAGATTCATACTAGCGGTGCAGATAAGAATAGTATATCACAGTCCCAGCATATCAGAAAAGCGAGTGGCGTGGTTGCTTCGCTCCTTGCTTAATCACTCTTAGGATGTTGTTTGCTGTTTATTGCACGCGAAGCTTGTTGGATCTGACGAATATGTGGATCTAACGGCGGCGGGTAATCTGAAGAACTGCACGTTGTAAGCCTTCTATCGCACGCTTTCTTCACTTTGTTTCTGTTCGATAAATGTACACACCAGTTGCCTCCGAGTCTTGTTTCTATAATTTGCAATAGAGCGTGGGCGACTGCGTTGTAACGTTGACTGGAACAACGGCTATCCCAGTCGCGGCCATTCTCTCCAGAGTGAGCTCGCACATTCATTGTCGTGTCACTATATCTCTCTTATACCCTTCCCGGTCATTGATTTGAAATCGAATTTTTAAAGAAAGTAGCCATTTCATGTTGGAATAGTACGTTACACCTACATCTGTGCATTAGTTGATGCACTACAGTTAATGCTCGTGCGATGTTCGTATACGAGGTTAGAGATTCTATCGTGGATGTCGTGTCATCTATGGCACATTGGGGTTTATCGAACTTTACTAGAATCCTTGCGTTTTGAAGCCATATATATCATCTTCCCTTCGAATAAGCAAACTACTGTGAAATTAAAGAAAGATTTGAAGTCGTTGCCGTATCCAAACAATAAGTGTCAACACTGCGCACCTGCGACTTGCTTCATTCTCCGCTGTTACGTGATTGCTCTCTTCTTGTCTTAATTTTTTACATACACTTACGTTTTAATCTTGGAAGAAGTTGAGACTATTTTGCTGTTAATGTGGCGCTCTTTACACATCGAAGCCTGCGAACCGCCTCGGCTACTCCTCCGCTTTCCTTCATCCGTCTCCAAACATTTAATATATTCCCACCGTCATTCGTTCGCGAAGGCGAACTAACGTTCATTTTAGAAAAGTTAGAAATGTGCACTTGGAAGCATTGGGACGATTTCACTTGCTTTTTCTTTTTCATAAAGCTTCTACGCTTTTTTGGTGCGATTCGACGCCGTTATTCATTTTTTTTCGAGTCAAATTTATGCTTATCTTGTGCAGTGAAAGTGTTTTGGAGAATCTGTTTTATTCCAGAAACCATGCCCGAGGGCAAGGCGCCACATTTCCCTCAGCAACCCGTGGCTCGTCAAAACGACGACGGCTCTCTTGAGCTTGAATGCTTCCTCGACGCATCTCCTCAACCGGATATCAAGTGGTTCTACGACAATGTTTGTTTCCGCGCCATTTTTTCCTGTCAAATTAGTTTTAAAAAACATCCTTATCCTACATTTTTTAACTTGCTGATTCGTTACAATTGAAAATTAGGTTTTTTTTGAAAAAATTAGGCTCCATTAGGTCGAGCTCAAAGTCGATTGGTGATTGAGTGCCTGTCACACTTAGACTTGACTGTAGGTGTCACTTCATAGGAATTCAGGTGTAACGGTCAGCATGTAAAAATTCTCCTTATTTTGATTAAGTAGTAGTAGTAGAAGATGTGAGCGCCCGGCGATTATGAACTAGAACATTATGACCCACACTATACTTCATCGGATTACTGCCAAACTTTTGCACTAGTGTAGCTATATCGACGATTTTGAGGAAACTAGTCCATGATCACACGTTTTTTTAGAAAAGAAAATAAAGCTAGAGGACCTAAGAGTTCATATTTGTCTGGCAAAATTCACTCTAAGTTTATTCGTTTGAAGTAAGCAGCGTAGGAAAAAGTAATGGGCAATTAGGTATCGAGGGGGAAGGTGTACGCCGAGCTTTGGAGACCAGCTGTCATTGGACCGCGTATCTCTTGCAATAACGCAAATGGTCACATAGCTTTGTAATTCATGTTGTTAATTGAAGGCTGCAATACGAGACAAGAACGATTAAAATAAGATCTGAAGTATATTTAGAAAAAGACACACTGGGATATCTGAACAATTGGATGATGTAAATGCGTGTGTATAATACTTACTAAACCTGTGAAGGAATTAGATTGGAGTTCATGGTCGCTCCTATGTTTATGTCTGTTTCTCTTCCTTTGAAAACCTGAAAGATTTGCAAGAACACTGAGTATGTGATTAAGAAAAATTTCTTTCAGCATTATGATTTCACCTCCTCTAATGTGAGACAAGGCAAACCGAACGGTTCGTAAGCAGAATTAAGGAACACATAACTTAAGAAAGAGGGAGAATCAAATGTCCGGAAATCAGACAACCCAACAGGTTGGCGCGCCTTAAATCCTGGATAAGAGCTGTTGGTGACGAGGTCCTATAGGATGTCAAGCACATCGCGAAAGGGTTACCGACACGATGTTCATGCTTCTTTGTAAGGTTTTGGAAAATTGATATGACGCTCTTTGAGTCTCTTGAACCGCAGAATCCGGCGGGTTACTCTTTTCCATGACAGGGACAAATAGAGAATTTAATAGCTCCGAGTTTTGTTACTTAGGTATGGGACGAGAGATGGTATAGGTGAAGAAATATGTGATAAAATTGTTCTTTTGGGCAGCTTATGATTTTCTTTAAGAATTGGTGAATTTTGCACGACAAAAGTACAGAAACTGGAATTACGTTATTATTAGCACTTTTTTCTAATCATTACTCAGCGTTACTATTTGGTGTAAGAAATCTCCTTTGAGAGTTGAAGTCTTTAATGAAACTTATTGCTCACGTTGAATGAATGAGAAGGGTCAGTGATTAATATTTGAACTGTAATAGTTCTGTTATGCCTACAAGCTCCATTATTGCCACGAAGCTTCTCATTTTCGGTTGTTTTGACGCGCTTACTCTCATTTTATGGAGATTACTAATTGATTACCACACGTTATACTATGCACCTTCCTTATAAACCCCGTAAACACCAACTGGTTCTAGTTAACACCATTGAAATCTCCATTCGTCCCTATCACGCGTCAAAGATACTCAGCTGGTTGAGGCTAATCAAGCATTGCGATTATATGAGAACCACTTCTAAAACTGTTTTTATCCTTAAAATAGCCACCGTGACACCGAATTTCGTCGTTGCGTAAATCTGGACTTAGCTAGGTTTCTCATTGGATAAATAGAAATCTTTCTCAGTTTGACACCTTGTTGGGGAACTTCACATCGCGTTTCGACAGCAAGCAAAACCTTCCGACCGCATGAAGACGGTAAACTTTGTGGAAGAATTCGATACTGGCCGTGAAAACCGTATTCCACATTCTAGAATCTTAATATTTCCTTAAATATTGGTTGTTTTTAAATCAATAGTAGTAAGAAATGATGTTTGCTAAACAGCATTCGTTACCTACTCACTGATTTCACCACTAATTAAACAAATAAGATGGAGTTAAGCCACAAAAGTTAGTTTATACAGACAAACGTGTCACTATTAAAATTGGTTCTGGATGTGGTTCTTATGTTCCGTTGCGTTTCACCAGATTATTGACAACTTTTAGAAAGAGGTCAAGCAGGACTCTCGCTTCCAGTTTAAGCTCGACTCCAAGGGGAATGACTCTTATTCAGCTATACTCCAAATCAAGGTTAGTAGTTATCATGCTGATGTCTGATTTCACATACATCATTGTAAGGTTTAGAGCACAGCTTTTATGGTAACCGGTCTTTGTTGCTAAATGTGCAGTTTGTAATTGCTCATAAATCTTCATAAAATCCACGGCATTTTGTTCTTTTAATGAAAAACATTAGTTCCCTTATTATTTGATCTATCTTTTAACATATTCATGGCCGAATGAGTTATGATGACTCATACATAGGGGTGAGAAGCACGGCAGACATGTGTGACTCCTTTTCTTCCTTATTTATTTATCCGCATGCTGTTGTTTCAATCAGTAACTCCTCTACCTCAGATCTTATACCAGACACCACTTAAGAAGGCTGTACCCTATCCTTAATAATTTGCAGCAAAATTTTTCGCACTCTTATTTGTCCCAACAAGGAGATTTTTTGTGGTGAAGCGGATAATACGTGATCTTGAATATGTTAAAAAAAAACGCACTTCTTAATATATACTGAACATTGTTGGTCGATGTGAAAACCATTGGAATCTATACTGGCTCGATTGGTAGATGTCATCTAGTTATCAAGACAAAGTAGAGTCCAACCCGTAGAGCATTATCGTTTATCCTTTATAGAGAAAGTCATAGCTAGAAGGCAAAAATATGCTCCTATTTGCCAAGAACACTTCGACCCTGAGTTCCATATTTTTCACAACCTTAAAGAAGATTCTCTTTTTGCTGTTAAAGGTTATTTTAGCATTTCTAGAGTGTAAGTAAATATCCATAGTAACTTTTCGGGCTAATTTTAGAGATTCAAGGGTATTTTTTCACCTTGTTTCTCTGAGTATTCCTTACAAAGTAAACCAGATATGGACAGTAAGGTAAATTTGTTGTGATAATTACTGTCTCTAATGCTCACCACTAATTTCGTTTTCTATCTTAGATCCAAAGCACGATTTTCTCCTTTTAGGACGGTTTTTCCCTTTTTGTTACAAACGTCTTTACAGTGCAAAGCTGTAATGTCCTCCTCCGTTGCTAGATTTATCTTACCAGCGTACTAAAAAAAGAAAAGTTTTATGTTTCAAATGAACACGTATTTATATTGTTATCGTTTAGAGTTTCTTTATATTGTTCAAAAATGACGATGGTTTATGGAAAATCTGCCATTTTATCCTAAACTAATGCTTTATGTTGGCTAGAACCTAACGTTTTTTCCATATTGTATATCATTTTGATGTTAAATACTGGTGTAGTCGAATTTTCTCACTTTTTATTGATGGAAGCTTGGTTCCCTGAGTGCAAGCTCGATCCAGTAATCATGAATGTATTGCCAAGCATCTTTAACCACTGTACTCTCCACTCCCCTTTTTGAGAAAAAGTGGAAAGATGCAAATGCGGCCAGTTTTTTGTATGCATTCAAATTTAGCCTTAAATCTGCGGAAACAGCTCATAGTAACAACCATTCACTTTGCAAGGGATCGTGAACAATTGCATTTTGCAAGATTTTTCAGAGCTGATGAAGAAATAAGTAAGCTTAAGGTGGGAAAGGCCATGGGAGATCCATGTCCATCGACAATGATCATGTAAAAGCATAAAAAAAAGCCATAAAGAAATAAACCAGCTTGCTGTTTTTTGAATGAAAAAGAAAGTCAATGCTCCGCTTCTTTGCTTAAAAGAAAGTCCATTCGTTAATGACATTCTAGTACGCTGTAAGCACTAACGCTTTCTATAAAATAGGGGTACAGAATCTTCCGTTACTTCAAAGGAATAGCTTCATGAACGACAGATAGAACCGTCCTTACTAACTATTTCATTCTTTTCGAAACCGTTACACTTTAGAACTGTAGCCTGTGAGTCGTAGAAATAGACTAGAAATTGCAACATCTGTGACCAGCACCTGTATATGTAATCGAATTTGTTGAACAACAACGACCTCAGCGCTGTCAAATTCCAAAGAACTGGTGCGCGAAGCCCTGACTTGTCAATAATGTTCACCAAATGTTCGGCAATGAACTGTCGGTTTTTAAATCACCTCGGGAAACATTTCCAAATAAAAATCTTCAACAACAAAGCGGCTGTTGTAATTATATGCGGACGATATGTGGTTGTGAATCTCTACAATTTTACCGTAGTGCGGTAAATAGACTCGTATTTTGTTGGCAACGATATCTTAAGTTCTTGATGAAGACCAACAGAAATGTTTTGCATTTCTCAGTTTCTCAGCAAATATGCAGCGCATACTATAATTTTATTCGGGCTAATTGTTTAACCTGAGACGCAGGTGGTTCCAAGGGATGGACTCTGTGCTTCTGCTGCTCCGATTTAGCACATACTTTCTGAATTTACGAGGGCGTACTCATGCATGCGAGATTGGGTGTGTTCTGGTTTATACAGGTTGTATTCTACGAGTCAATTCGGCCAAAAGCCTGCAATCAAGTGACAGGGAAGCGTATAAAAGGCGGTTAGGTCGCCCCTCCCCCGCCCCCTCCACCCAACAAGTAAGCCCCATCTCGATTCTGGGAGAATGTAACAAGCTACACGTGAGTAGACCCAGCCCCACATTCAAAACCCAGAAAGCTATACGTGGGTATCAAAAAGCCAAACGCAGTAAAATGGACGAACCTCCATTCTAAGTTGCCCAAATCGCAAAGGACCAAGGTGACGATCTATACCTACGATGCACGCACACTTGCATCTGAGTCCTCGATAGAAGACTTGATCATACAAGCAAGAAGGATAAAGTACGACGTCGTTATACTGGTTGAGACGAGACGAAGCCACCAATTCAACGCCGTCTGTGGTACTAGAAAAGGACTATATCTCGGAACATGGAGCAGTAAAAGAGTTGGAGGAGTTTGCGTTCTCATCAACTGGAGCTTGGCCATGAACATCGATTCATTCGAACGACTAACAACCCGAATCGGACTTTACGATTGAAGAGGTATGGATCAACACTGGATTTGGCAATCTTCGTCGTTTACGTACCATCATCACGCTATCACGAAGAAGAATTCAAAGTGTTCTATATTGGCTTGAGAGAAGTTCTAAAGAGAAGAACGAACATTCTTCAAGATCATCGTTGGAGATTTTAACGCTAAGATTGGACCAAGAAGAACGCCACAATGGGACCCACAATTAGAATGGAAGGAACAGGATAATCGGGTGTCTGAGTTTATCATGACGTTAAAGACCATCCGTGGTAACTCGCAATTCCAGAAAACGCACCCTCAACGCTTGACGTGGGTGTCTCCCAATGGAGCGTACCGTAACGAAACGACGGACCACATCATAGCAAATCAATGGTCGTGCGGAAATGACGTCGATGTTATCCCAAAGTTCTACACGGAATCAGACCATGGCTTCCTTCGTGTAGGATTTTATTTCTAGCGGAAATGAGGAAAAGCCGCTGAACAAAAAAAAACAGTGTACCAAAACCACCAAGAACTGGGACTTATTCAATTCACTAGTCGGCTGTTGAGAAGATGCCGTTCTCGACGACATCGACGAAGAATACGACCGGTTTATTCAACATTTTCACGTCAGCGTCATGAAAGCTCAGAGTTCGAAGGTGACCAAGAGACGTCTGTCTCCAGAAACACTCGAGGTAATACGTCAGCGCGGAATCGCTAGAGCTTCAGGCAACCGCGAACAAACGTCCGAACTTGCAAAGCAATGCAGATAGGCGATAAAAGAATGAATATCTTAAAGAGAGAAGAACAGCAGTGATGGACGAAGCTGCAGAGGCTGGGAAAAGCATTCGCAAAGTTCACGGAGGTTTTGCCAATTGCAAGACCAAGATGAATGCACTCCGACGCCCAGACGGCGAAGTTACAGCGTCCAGAAAGGCAATGGAGAACATCATTCACGATTATTACTATCTCTTCAGTAACCACATTTTCATGCCTTTACATGAAATGAAGGAGGATGGATAAGTCGCAGCACCTGTTTTCCCTTTCCGAAACTCAGCATGCTGTTTCGTCGGTGAAGAGCCGAACAGCAACAGGTCCGCACAGGATAAGAGCTAAATACATGAGGAAACCTCCGCCAGTCCTCGTAAAGACAGTGGCTAAGCTCTTCGCACGTTACCTGGCTGAGTGCAAGGTCCCTACTCAGTGGAAGACCAGCAGAACCGTGCTGTTGTTCAAGAACGGTGACCTCCACGATATCGGCAGTTACCGCCGAATCTGATTGCTGTCTGTCGTCCACAAACTTTTCACTCGAGTTATCCTAAACAGGATCGACAGAACATAGGAGCAAGGGCAACCATGTGAGCAAGCAGGGTTTCGAAAAGCATTCAGTACGATGGACCACATCGACGTGATAACAGGACTCATTGAGATATCGCGAGGGTGCAGAAGACTTCCTCACTCTCACTTTCATCGATTTAGAGAAGGCTTTCGACTCTAGATGTAGTCACGGGAGCTCTAGACAGTCGAGGAGAAAATTTCATTTCTACAATACCAGTATTCTGCAGTGATATTAATATCGATTTCAAAAGAGAGTTTAGACAGGGCGATGCTATCTCGCCAAAATTATTAACCACCTCCCTCGAGAACGTCATGCGAGCATTGGAATGGGACAATATGGGAGTGAAAATCGATGGTCGGCAGTTACATCGTCTTCGTTTTGCTGATGACATTGTCCTTACAATACCAAATATTAGCCGAGCGGAACGTATGCTTGCCGATTTTGATAAAGCCTGTAAAAAGATTGGTCTTCTACTAAATCTCACAGAAATGATGTTCGTGGAAAAGAATTGGTTTCATGTGCCCCATTCACGCTCAACGGAACGAATTCCTTCGTATGCTCCAGCTCCGTATGTCAACATTGTGAACGACTCAGCTCCGGATTTGAACAGGAGGATACGAGGGGCTTGGGGATCTTTTAAGATCATCGACGACGCAGTTAAGAGAACAGAGAACACCCGACTCCGTTCCCAGCTTTTCGGCTTCATTCTTCCTGCCTTCACGTATGCGTCTGAAACCTGCTGGATGCTTCAGTGAACGCACAGTCGAAAGGATAATGCTAGGAGTATCCCTCCTCACACAAGTAAGGGAAGGGTTCCGAAGGTATGACCTGCGTCATCGATCAAAAATCGAATATGCCGTCCTGTACTCTAAAGAGTCGAAGATAAGGTGGGCCGGGCACGTAACGCGTATGAACGACAACCGATGGACAAGGGCCGTTAGCGACTGGATACCTCTGAATGTCAAACCTACTGTGCAAAGACCTACTGACCCGATTGTCAGAGTTCTTCACGAAAAGCCTAGAAGAAAGATATGATGCTCAACGAGGCCCTAGTGCGAGCAGAACCCACTGGGCCACTCATGCAGGCTACAGGGAAAAAACGAAGGTTTAGTGGCGCCCATTCGACTCACTCGACCATCGAAGGGACGGCAGGTCATACAGTTGGTAGGTGGTAGTTGATTGAAGTGCGAATTTTTCTAAAACTTAATAAATGTACATTATTCATTTATTCAGAACTAGACTATAATGCATAACTATGAAAATATGATAAATAAACTGAATATTGTTATTTAAGGATCTCGCCGACAGTGATGCAGGTGGTTATCGCTGCGCAATTGTCAACCCTCATGGAAAAGGGAATGCCAATTTCAATTTGAAGCTTACCGGTCTGTCCATTTTCCCTTGTTTTGCGTTTTTTAAGGCGTATTTGGATGGAATGTTGTTTCACGTGGTTGTGATTTCATTTAATGATCTCCTTTTTTCTCATAATTTCATCACTTTGTTTATATAATCTGTTTTTTCCTTTTGATTTTGATTTGGTAAGTTGGTGAAAAAGCTACTTTTTTCACATTCTATACGAAGAACTTCATTATGTTATTATTACATTAGATTGAGAACATGGCTCTATCGTTATTGTTTTTAGGATTCTCTTCGCCAACGTTTGTGGAGAAACCTCAGATATCGTCAAGGGACGACGGCCAAGTTATGGTAATGGAGTTCCGGGCCAAGTCTATCCTCAAACCTACATTTGTGTGGCATAAGGTTGGTCATAATTTCTTGAAGTAGTTGTAGTATCTGGCTTGATGACGAGCTTTTGCAGGGCGATGAAATAGTGGCTCAGTCAGATCGCGTAAACATTGTTCTCAGGGAGGAAGCCAATCAAATCTACTATGCTGCTTTAGAGATTAAGGTATGCTTGGATATTTTATTATTTTCATCTGAAGAATATCTAATTGCACTAACTTTGTGATTTTTAGGAGCCAACAAAGGAAAAAGATGCTGGGCAATTCGTTTGCACCGCAAAAAATGATTCTGGAAAACTTACCGCAACCTTCACTGTCAAATTCGAAGGTTTAATGCTGTTAGTTTATTTACTTGGCTGTTTTAGATCTTCTAGGTCCTTTCAGTTCCTCAAGGAGCGCCTACATTCACAAGAAAACCTCAAATCCTGCAAGTTACGTCTGAATCAGGAGATCCAGCAATTGTGTTTGACATCGGTTATCAAGCGGACCGCAACCCTGAGGTCTGATCAATTCCATCGCAACCATTATTTTTTGTTATTTCTTTTTCATTTTCAGAACACACTGTAAAACACACAAACAAACAACACAGCGCACACAAACACACACCGTTTTTTTTTTTACACCGTAAAATCATAGTGTTTTTCGGTGAAGACAGCTTGATAATAAGAAAGCGTGACCGAATTGATGGTAATGAGGCTCGTGGATGGTTTATTGGTTGAACGAAGACATCTGTTAACGGTGTAAGAATGTCTCCTGAGCAATCACTCAAGGGGACTGGCTTATCAATACTTATATCACTGGACATGTTGAAAGAGCAGGAAAGCTTATTCTAAGCGGGTTATCCTGGAGAAGCTGTGGAAAAGGCGCAACAGAATATTAATGTTGAAGTATAAAGATGAAGAGAATAGTATGATGTTGTTCACAGCACATGGTACCACGGTCTCCGTCAAGCTATTAGAGCAATGGAATGTGGAGAAGATTTCAATAAATGAGTTCAAGGTTCCCGTGTGTGTATTTCGGTATCATTCAAGAGATCGAATGCCTTCACCTGTAGTCGTCCATGTTCTGATCAAAATTGGAGACGCTGCGTTGACTATTATAGGGCACTAGTGAAATGTCACGACTCCAGATCTGCTACAAAAGTGCCAATCAGGTCAGCAAGAAGCAGCCGTTCACGCAATTGTTATCCATTATATTTCAATATAATCAGTAAAAACTGATTTTTCTAATGATTGTGGTTAGTGAAAATGTAAGTTGTGAGTGACGATCACAGTTGATGAAGCATTTAGAAATGTAATAATTGTAGATGCATGTGAAGAAAGATTGCAAAAGTTGCTGTCGTATTACGGTGAGTTGGTGAATAGCAAGAATATATTTATTCAAACGTGGACGTTTTGAGGACAACGTTTGCGAGATAAATGAAATTCAGTGACAATAAAAGTTGAAATCATGTCCAAAAATGCATTAAGCACATTGATGAATGTGCATTTTCTATACCCTTTATCCTCATGCTCACTGGACGCATTTCAAATCAGATGACCAAAATGCGTTCATGCATCGAAATCAATGCATATGGTCGCGCCCGTGTTAAGCGAGGACTTCGTGTTTTTACTAATTTTGAATGCTCAGAAAATTTCGTTCAGAACACCCGTTATAGGTAATATGGATTAATCCAAAAGGAAAGAAAATGAAGGAGTCCACTCGCATCCGTTTCTTCACGACGCCTGATGGACCCAACAATACATTTACAGCAAAATTGGAGCTCAAGGTCCGTTTAAGTCTTTCTGCAATTGAAAAAGTATTTTTACGGCTAATATATGCCTGTTATCGTTCAGAACTACAAAGCGAAGGATTCTGGAACGTACACCTGCAATATTAAGAACGAGGCTGGTGAAGCAAATGTTGAACTAACTCTGAACATCGAAGGTGTGCAGGGTACACATTTAAAGTTTATTCTTACAAACAACCGTATTACTGTTTACTTAATTTGTTATGTATATTAATGGAATACTCTGCTTGATGGGAAGCTATTCTATCTGCTATGTACAGTGTCGTTGCTGTTGTCACAAAATTCTACACGGGATCAGACCATCGTCTCCTTCGTGCAAGATTCTATTTCTCGCGGAAAGGGGAAAAAGCCGCTAAATTCCTTAGAGTTCGAAAGTCACCAAAAGACGTCTGTCTCCAGAAACACTCGAGCTGATACGCCAGCGTGGAATCGCACGAGCTGAAAGCAACCGCGAACTGACGTCCGAACTTGCAAAACAATGTAGGCAGGCGATAAAAGAAGATCTTAAAAAGAGAAGAGCAGCAGTAATGGTCGAAGCTGCAGAGGTTCGGAAAGGCATTCACGAAGCATACCGAAGCCTCGCCATTTACAGACCAAAACTATTGCTCTCCGGCGCCCAGACGGAACAGTTATACCGTACAGAAAGGTAATGGAGAAAATCATTCACGAATACTACTTGGATCTCTTCGATTGCCACGTCCACCTTCTGTCATATGAAATAAAGGAGGATGGATGTGTTGTACTCCCTTCCGAAATCCGACATGCCATTTCATCGATGAAAAATCCAACAGGACCAGGTCCGGACAGGTTAAGACCAGAACACCTGAAGAACCTTCCACCAGTCCTCGTAAACACACTGGCTCGGCTCTTAACACGTTGCCTGTCTGAATGCAAGGCACCTACTCAGTGGAAGACCAGCAGGACGGTGTTATTCTTCAAGAAGGGTGACCTACACGATATCGGCAACTATCGCCCAATCTGATTGCTGTCTGCCATCTAAAAACTTTTCACGCAAGTTGTCTTAAACAGGATTGACAGAACACTAGACGAAGGACAGCCATGTGAGCAACCAGGGTTTCGAGGAGGATTTAGTATGATGGACCACATACATACGGTAACAAGGTTTGTTGAAGTATCGCGAAAATACAAAAGACTGCTCTGTCTCACTTTCATCGATTTACAGAAGGCCTTTGATCCAGTTGTGATAGAAGCAGTCTTGGAAGCCCTTGATAGTCAAGGAGTACAGTACAGTACATAAAGATTTTTCGTGAGCTGTAAAAAAATTTCACAACCAAGGTATCACCATTCTACAACGATATCAAACAACGATATCAACGTTGACGTCAAAAGAGGGATTAGGGGAGGTGATACCATATCACCAAAATTATTTACAGCCTCCTTCCAGAACGTCATGCGAACATTGGAATGGGATAATATGGGAGTGAAAATCGACGGTCGGCAGTTACACCTTCTTCGCTTTGCTAAGAACGGATTGGTTTCGCATGCCTCATTCACGCTCAACGAAGCGAATATCTTCGAATGCTCCAGTAATATCTATCTAGGTCGGGAAGTCAATATAAAGAACGACTCCAGAGTCCAGAGCTCCAGAGTTGAGCAAAAGGTAAGGAGCAGCTTGGGGATCTTTCAAGAGCATCGAGGACGTAGTGAAGAGGATAAAGTACACCCGATTCCGTGCCCACCTTTTCGACCCAGAGGTACATCCTGCTCTAACGTATGCGTCCGAAACCTGGTCGCTACGTAAGCAGGATGAAAGGTCACGCAGCGTTATCGAACGCACAGTCGAAAGGACGATGATAGGAGTATACCGCCTCATACAAATAAGGGAAAGGATCTGAAGCTATGGCCTGCGTCAGCGATCAAAAAGCAAAGATGGCGTTCTGTGCACCAAAAAATCGAAGACAGGATGAGGCAGACACGTAGTGCTTATGAACGACTACCGATGGACAGGAGCCGATAGTGATTCGATCCCTCGGGATGTCAAACGCACAGCCGGAAGACTACCGACCCGATGGTGAGAGTTTTTCACAAAGAGCGTTGAAGAAAGATATGATGCTCGACAAGTGCCCAAAGCGAGCGGAGTCCACTGGGCTCCTCTTGCACGTGACATGGAAAGATGTTAGGTTTACTTTCGCCCGCTCATTCTTCCTGCCTTCACGTACTACAGGAAGACCAACGACCCGATAGTCAAAGTTCTTCGCGAAGAGCCTAGAAGAAAGATATTATGCTCGACAAGTGCCCAAAGCGAGCGGATTCCCCTGGGCTCCTCTTGCACGTGACATGGAAAGATGGTAGGTTTACTTCCTGCCTTCACGTACTACAGGAAGACCAACGACCCGATAGTCAAAGTTCTTCGCGAAGAGCCTAGAAGAAAGATATTATGCTCGACAAGTGCCCAAAGCGAGCGGATTCCCCTGGGCTCCTCTTGCACGTGACATGGAAAGATGGTAGGTTTACTTTCGCCCGCTCATTCTTCCTGCCTTCACGTACTGCAGGAAGACCAACGACCCGATAGTCAAAGTTCTTCGCGAAGAGCCTAGAAGAAAGATATGATGCTCGACGAGTCCCTAGAGCGAGCAGAACCCGCTGGGCCACTGTTGCACGCTACAGGGAAAAATGGGAGATTTACTGGGGCTCGCTCGAGTCACTCGACGAACAACGGCACTACAGGTGATACAGGTGATGTACAATATCATGCTTATTTAATGAGGAAGGGATTGGTGAGGAGTATTCTCTATTTGATCGTAGCTCAAAGGGTTTGTTTTTGTAGGGTCAGTGCCGCAGAATTTCCGTGATTGATACGTGGACTAGCATAAAACGATCTATAGTTGAGAATTGAGAATTGAGATTGATTGATTGAGATTTGAGAATAGGCTGCTGTAAGTGAGGTATTTCTTGTGGCACAACTGCTTATCAAGGAATCAGATGACGTACGGTCTAACTCACGTCTTACATATTAGATTACATTTATTGATGGGATTAGATACGCTCTGTAATATACGCATGATCTCTGATCCGACCAACCAACCTGTGCAGTGTCGACCAAGCTTAATATCCTTCCGAAGTCGCAGATTGGTAATCGACATATTTGTGAGGCTTGCTCTGATTAGCAAAAGCTGAAGACTAATCTGTAAGGAAGACCTTGAAGCCCTCTGGTAGGCTATTCTGGGAGTAAAAAACAATCTGCTCAACCAGCATTCAGTGACATTCATGAGAAGAGGAAATCGTCAACTAAAACACAGATACACGGTACTCAAACACAAATCCGAAGGACTTGGTGAGTCATGACAATGAAGCAGACGAATGAAGTCTTGGGATACACACAATATACATACGTTTAAAGAATTCGAGCATGTAGGTCTTTATCACATACGTGGCATCTCATTAGCCGTAAAATATCGTTTTTCTTTTGTCGGATTATCTGTCTTTAAACTTTTAAACGTAGGTGAGTAACGTTTGTCAATGGAGTTATTTCAAATTTTACAATAACAATATCTTATAGTAGATAGCGATTACTGTTTCTGCTGTTTTTTAGGACCCATGGATGACGGCGGCGACGATGGAAGCGAGGCGTAAGCAACACTGTCATCTAAAACAGTTTTTTATTCTGCAAATATTCTTTGGTGAATTTGTAAAAGAGATTGTAAACGAAAGCAAATGATTTCCGACAAGTTTATTAGGTGAAATTATTAAATTGCAACCCTTGATCGCTGTAACATATGAAAATATAGTATTATGGCTGCTTTCCAACGCTGACCGTGAAATTCTAATTTATTCAAAAGTACTATAAGCTTGTGAATTTTGTAGGAATAGTTTGAGATTCTCGGAAAAGTTCAACTTTCCATTGTTTCTACAGTATGTTTTATACGATAATTGGAATATTTATGTATATTGTTTTGATTATTAGAATTTATCTAGAACAGTGCTAATGATTAGGCAGGTCGGCGCTATTGTTGATGAGAACAAGTGGATTCTGCACCGAAATAAACCTCTTCGGTAGATCTTCGCTTGAATACCACGAACATTGGAGATTTGCAATTAGATAAAAACGTTTGCAGAAAAATACAGTTCTATGAATGTGCGTGGTATAGGTCTGTAGAAATAATCTGGCTTCTTAACTCTTTTATTTACTGCCTTTTTTCTTCTTAATGGCAGGTTATGTTGCGAAATATAACTCGTATGAAAAGCTGAGATATTTGCAAAACTACGGACCACAGCTGTATGCAGTGGAGAACGAACACGCGCTGTTGTCCTTACCGGGGAGCAGCGCACTTCACCACTACACCATCCGGGTCCTTCGCTTTGCGTATATCTCAGCTACTGGCTAATCTGGCTTCTCTACTAATCTCTACTAATCTGGCTTCAACTCATAGTGTATTCATAGAAACAAGCCAGAAACTGCAGTAAATTAAAGAAAAGATCTGGACTGTCGGCATATTCGTGGTGACTTCCAGTTTTCTACCATGTCATGTGAGTAATTCCTATTCCGTTCATTCTGATTAAAATATAATTTTTTTAGTAAATGCTGATGTCAAGCGTGCTTCTTATCGGCACTAATCTTCGTTCCCACTGCGTAGTTACAATGAGCAGAAATGATTGCATGATGTATAGAACGTAATGAACACTTGCCAATAACTTCTTTTTTTTGTAAATTGTCGAAGAACAAACCATCGAGTTGACACAAAAGGTGTTTCACGAAATCTTTATACTGTAAAGGGAATAACGTTTCCTTGTATTTTAGAAATCCTTCATATATTAAAGGATAGAGGATAAAGCGGTGATCAATCGCTGAGGTATGGGCTGTGCATTCGACTTCGTCAAGCATCGTTAGAGAGGATTGAACGCACATTAGCCTATACAGTAACTTAGGGTAATAGAATTTCGATGTATCAAGTCAGTGATGCCTTCCACCCAGATTGGTCTGGTACAAATTTGCGACTGCGGAGATGGAAAGCTTGATGAGACTGAGGGGCGGGATCGAACCAACGACAACGTGTGTGCTGCAGCACGCCTCTAAACACTGCCCTATGCGCACCCATCATCATATAACATATTTACTTGGATATCTAGATGGCCCATCTTCACTGTTTGTGGGGGTACCAGAATAGCTTCCATTTTTCCTGGAGTTTTGTTGGTTTAGCCATTGTGGTTCTCTGGAGCTTGCGGAATCAGAGGGAGATTTGCCATCACGCCACTAATCTAATATCGAGCCGCTGTTGGATCCTCACACTTATTTACTCTTAGCTGGGCTTCCTGATGGAAACGGAGTCCTCAGCTTGGGAGACCCTGCTGGTGGGATGAATTCCCCGCTATATTTTGCAGCTCGACTCCCAGCCACGATGAGGTGGTAAACAGTCAGAAGGAATGTAATATATGGTACTATATATATATATATATATATATATATATATATATATATATACGTATATATACGCATATATATACGTATATATATGTATATATATGCATATATATATACATGCATTATAAAGTTGGAGTTGCAGCGCCTTTTTTCATTTTATTCGTTCCCTCCACGGATTTCACTCATGTGAAGGATCTCGAGCCGGTTAGTCGCGAGGCTACGTGACGTGCCTCCGCGTGGCGGACTGTGGTTTTGGGAGAGGAGGATAATGGCGGACTAAAAGCGACCTTTGCTTTCTTGAGACGCATGTGGATCCAGGGGATGGATTCTCTGTTTCTGCTACGCTGATTTATCCCATATTTTCTGTATTTACGAGGCGTATTCACGCATGCGTGTGTGGGTGCATTCGAGCTTATGCGTATTGTATTCTACGAGTCAATTCGTCCGAAAGCCTACAATCAAATAACAGGGAAGTATATAGGAGGCGGTCAAGAGTCACCTGCAACAAATAAGCCCTATGTCCACTCCGGGAGAAACTGGCAAGCGAGCCGTGAGTATACCCAACCCCCACGTTCAGAGCCCAGTAAGCTATACGTGGGTGTCAAAAATGCTAAACACAGTAAAAAAAAGGGCCTCATTCCCCTGACCTCGAAAGAGCCCCAATTTCGCAGCGTTGGGTAGGACGAATACGGAGAGGCTGCTAAAATCTCAAGGACAATAGAAGCTCCTGGATTTCAAAGAACTATGGTGACGATCTGTACCTACAATGCACGCACACTTGCATACGAGTCTTCGATAGAAGACATGATCATGTAGGCAAGAAGAACAAGGCGCGACGTCATTGGACTGGCCCAAACGAGAAGACGCCACAAATTCAAGGCCGTCTATGAAACTGAAGAACTGTTCCTTGGAACATGCAACAATATAGTCGGTGGCATCGCAGTTCTCGTCAACACGAATTTGTCCATGAACATCGAATAATTCGAACAGCTAACAACGCGAATCGGACGTTTACGATTGAACAGATATGGATCAATACCGGCTTCGACAATCTTCGTCGTTTACGCGCCGATGTCAAACTATGGCGAAGAAGAAGTCGAAGGGTTGTATATGGACTTGGAGAAGTTCTACATAGAAGACCACCATATATTCTTCAACGTCATCACAGTAGATTTCAACGCCTAGACTGGACCAAGAAGAACGTCTAAAGAACGTCACGTTGGGACTCAAGGATTAGAATGGAACGAACAGGGTGAGGGGCTATCTGAATTTATCATGGCGACCAAAACCAACCATGGTAACTCGCAATTCCAAAAGCCTCAGCCTCAACGCTAGACGTGGGAGTTGGCCAATGGAGAGTACCATGAGCAGCAGGACCTTCTATTGTTAAAGAAGGCTGACCTCAACGATATCGGTAACTACTGCTCAGTCTGCTTGCTTTCTCTCGTCTGCAAACTTTTCACTCGAGTCATCTTAAACATGATTCGCAGAACACTGGATGAAGAGTAGCCATGTGAGCAAGCAGCGTTTCGAAAAGAAGAAAAAGACGTACTATGGACCATATCCAGTCGATAGCAAAACTTACTGAAGTATTGCGAGAGTACGAAAGACCACTCTCTCTCACTTTCATCGATTTACAGAAGACCTTTGATTCACTTGGGATAGAAGCAGTCTTGGAAGCCCTTGATAGTCAAGGAGTCCCTACTCAGTACATAAAGATTCTTCGTGAGCTGTACAAAAATTCCACAATCAAGGTATCACCATTCTACAACGATTTTAACATTGAAGTCAAAAGAGGAGTTAGGCAGGGCCATACCATCTCACCAAAATTATTTACCGCCACCCTCCAGAACGTCATGCGAGCATTGGAATGGGATAATATGGGAGTGAAAATCGACGGTCGGCAGTTACACCATCTTCGCTTTGCTGATGACATCGTCCTTATAACACCAAACATTTGCCAAGCGGAACGTATGCTTGACGACTTTGATAAAACCTGTGGAAAGATTAGTCTTCGACTAAATCTCACAAAAGCGATGTTTATGAATAACGGATTGGTTTCGCATGCCCCATTCACGCTCAACGGAGCGAATATCTCCGAATGCTCCAGTTATATCTATCTAGATATTGAAATCAATATGATGAACGATCTTAGCTCCAGAGTTGAGCAAAAGGAAACGACCTGCTTGGGGATCTTTTAAGAGCATCGAGGACGTAGTGAAGAGGATAAAGAACATCCGATTCCGTGCCCACCTTTTCGATCCAGTGGTACTTACTGCCCTAACGTATGCGTCAGAAACCTGGTCGCTGCGTAAGCAGGATGAAAGGTCACTCAGCGTTATCGAACGCACAGTCGAAAGGACGATGATAGGAGTATACCGCCTCATACAAGTAAGGGAAAGGATCTGAAGCTATGGCCTGCGTCAGCGATCAAAAA